TTTCTGAGACAGAGTTTCTCTGTTGTTGCCAGGCTGGAGTGCAATGGCGCAATCTTGGCTCACTGCAACCTCTGCCTCCTGGGTTCAAGCAATTCTCCTGCCCCAGCCTCCTGAGTAGCTGGGATTAAGGCATGTGCCACCACGCGTGGCTAATTTTGTATTTTTAGTAGAGGCGAGGTTTCTCCATGTTGGTCCAGTAGCTGGTCTCGAACTCCCCACCTCAGGTGATCCACCCGCTCGGCCCTCCCAAAAGTGCTGGGATTACAAGCATGAGCCACCTGCGCCCTGGTCTTTAGATGGGAGTTCTTCTTGTTCAGGCTGGAGTGCAAGATGGCACCATCTCAGCTTATCAACCCTCTGCTTCCAGGTTCAAGCGATTCTCCCTGCCTCAGCCCCCCAAGTACTGGGATTACAGCATGTGCCACCACCATCCGGCTAATTTATATATATATATATTTTTAGTACAGATGGATTTTTGCCATTATTGGCCAGATTGGTCCTCGAAACTCCTGACCTCAGGTGATCCACCCTGCTTCGCTCCCACAGCGCTGGGATTCACAGGCGTGAGCCACTGCGCCCAGCCCAGAGCTGGGATTTGAACGCAGGCAATCTCGTTCCAGGGGCCTGTTCAAGAACGAGAAAGGGGGGGCGGGCGGGTGGCTCAAGCCTGTAATCCCAGCACTTTGGGAGGCCGAGACGGGCGGATCACGAGGTCAGGAGATCGAGACCATCCCTGGCTAACCGGTGAAAACCCCGTCTCTACTAAAAAATACAAAAACCTAGCCCGGGCGACGGTGGCGGGTGCCTATAGTCCGCCAGCTACTCGGCGAGGCTGAGGCAGGAGAAGGCGTAAACCGGAGGCGGAGCTTGCAGTGAGCTGAGATCCGGCCACTGCACTCCAGCCTGGGCGACAGAGCGAGACTCCGTCTCAAAAAAAAAATAAAAGGAGAAGGGGAATGTGGACCAGAATGGCTGAGGTGTCCTCTGGTGAATGGGAAAGGCATGGTGGTAAGGCCGGCCTTGACTCATGATGTGATAGGCCATCACAGTAGACCTTGGGAGAATTGGCACAGTTAGGCCACAGGCAGACATAGTCCTGCAACAGAGGTGGGTGGGAGGACACTAAGGCGGAGGTTCATGTATTCGAAACAAAAGAACAGAAGCCCAGACCAGGTGATGGCAGTGAGGATTAATGAAGAAAAGGATAATGTGCCTGTAGCCCAATGTATTTGTGTATATATGTGGTGTGAAT